GGCCCTGCAAGCACGACGTAACGAAAAGTCATCCAAAAATGTACCTCATAGCCGCGCACGCGCGAAAAAAGAAGGCCCCTAGCAGAGCTATTTGCACAGGCGGCAGGGCTCAAGAGCCCCAATAGCACGCCCTGCACCCATGTGGGCAGATTTTTGAACATTTTTTCTAACCTAGGGCTATCTGTGTTTACAGGGCTCGCGGACGCAAAGGTTGCACATTGGCTGTGCCCGCACCCGCGCCGCGTGCGCGAGTGGGTGTGCACGAGTGCGTGTGCGCGTGTGCGTGTGCGCGAGTGCATGTGCGTACGTGTGTCTGAAGCTGAGGTTGCCAGGCTTTTTCCATCAGACCTGTGTGGGAGTGTGTATGCGCAGGCGGAAGAAGCTGTGCTAATCATCGGATTTTGCTGTGCAAAGAGCCTGCGGATAGGCGCAGTCCCCCCAGGGGCGTCGCTGGTTGGCGAAGCCTGTCAGTAATACAGTAGGAAATCAAGACTTGAGACTACTTGGGACCTAGAACATGTTCCTTTACTTCCTTCGTAATTTAAAATATCATGTCGACCTTTGCTCTTTGCGTCTCCGCTTCGTTTTCACGATCCTCCACCGCGCCTCAGCGTCTTCTCCGTGGCGGTGGTGGATCTTCCACGAAAAGCTCCGGGTCTTCCAAGAGACAAGAGATCTGATTTTTCTCCAAATCCTTAGACACCAAGAAGACTGCCCTTACATGATCCTTCAGGATCCGGTATCGACATGCGGATACCATTGTTCCGCACCTGTGTCACAAAGGGTGTGATTTCCATCTAACACCACATGGTAGGCGCTACGTCCAAAATCATCCTGATTGCAACTGGCCACTACCGACTCAATCGTCATGCCATAGATCTCGTCCCCTTTTTGGAAATCCTGCAGGCAAAGCATGGGGAGGAGGAGGAGGAGGCTTACCAGCACACCGAACTGTATGGCCAGACCTCTGTTTCTCTACCTTCCAAACACAACACACCTGAAGGTCCTTGCCTGAGAACATTGAAGGGAAATCTGGCCACATTCAGCAAGTTGAACAGGGAATTAGAGCGAATGACCTCCACCCTAGTAGCGAAGGGAATTGAGCTCTTCAACTTCCCTTGGAGTCCAGCCTTGGCCAGCTGGTTCGAAACGTTGAGTCTAGCATCTTTGGCGCAGCCGATGTTTACAAAGACCCCATACCTCAGCGATCTGCAGAAAGACAAGCAGTTCACTGACATGACTGCAATGAGTTCTTGAAGGCCCTCAACAGCAAGTGCTATTGGTTAATTCCTGGGTGGAAGCTTCAATCCTTTGACCCTTGGAGATGGAGGCTACGGCACCAGCTGACATCCTTGCGCCATGTTGATGTCTCGACAAAACCTCTGCGATGCAGAAGAGGATCCTATTATTGTTGGTGACAATGCCATCCACTGCTGAACCCACTCGGAGCTTCTGAATCGCTATTCCTCCTGCGGAGCTTCTGAATCGACAATCCGGCCGGTGCTGACCGTTCCTTTCAAGCAGTGTTCTAATTCGGATCGTCGCCATGAGTCTCTTTCTTGGAACAGTATTGGCCACCGACAAACCTGGTACAGAACCGTCCATCGCTGCCTCCAGACTCTTCAGAAGCAAATTGAGAGCATACATCTCATGGAGGTTAAATATTGTTCAATGTTTCAAAAAGTAGACCTGATATACGTGGGAAAAGGGGAGTTGAAGGTGCTCAACATCTCAACACTGAGCTCCTCCGTTGGTCTCGCGGTTCCGTGTGGCATTGGCGGGCCGCGGCGCAGGCG